GCTTCAGAATCATTAAAATATTCCATGTTACATCTAAATTAGATATAAAGTAGCTTCAAAGAATTAGGTATAAATTGTGTTCTGTGATTAGAAATAAAATTCCATAATCTAGAATTCATTAACTATCTCATTGTTTTTCTATTAATTAAAATTCCATGTTAGTTATATATTATTGAGTTTGTTGTTGTTAGGTGCCATCAAGTCAGGACTGACTCATAGTGACCCTATGCACAACAGAACAAAACTGCCTGATCTGGACCAACCTCACAATTGTTGCCACGCTTGAGCCCATTGATGCTGCCACTTTGCCAATCCGTCTCACTGGGGTCTTCCTCTTTTTCCCTGACCCTCCACCTTACCAAACATAATATCCTTCTCCAGCGACTGGTCCCTCCTGACAATATGTCCAAAGTATGAGAGACGAAGTTTGGCCATTGTGGTCTCCAAAGAGCACTCTGACTGCACTTCTTCCAACACGTATCTGTTGGTTCTTTTGTCAGCCCATGGCACTTTCAATATTCTCCTCCAACACCGTAACTCAAAAGCATCAATTCTTCTATAGTCTTCCTTATTCACTGTTCAGCTTTCACATGTATATGAGGTTATTGAAAATATCAGGTGCTTGGGTCAGGTGCACCTTAGTCCTCAAGATGACATCTTTGCTCTTCAATGCTTTAAAAAGGTGTTGTGCAGCAGATTTGCCCAATGCAATACATCATTTGATTTCTTGACTGCTGCTTCCATAAGTGTTAGTAGTTGATCCAAGAAGAATGAAATCCTTGATAACGTCAATCTTTTCTCCACTGATATGAATTTTGTTTATTGGTCCAGTGGTGAGGACTTTTTTTTTCTTTACATTGGGATATAATCCATACCAAAGGCTGTGGTGTTTGGTCTTCATCAGTAAGTATTTTAAGTCATCTTCACTTTCATCAAGCAAGGTTGTATCATCTGCATATCACAGGTTGTTTAATGAGTCTTCTTCCAATCCTGATACCACGTTTTTCTTCATATAACCCAGCTTCTCAGATTTTTTGCTCAGCATTCAGGTTGAATAAGTATGATGAAAGAATACAACCTTGTTGCACACCTTTCTTAATTTTAAACCATTCAGTGTTCCCGTGTTCTGTTTGAAAAACTGCCTCTTGGTCCATGTACAGATTCCTCACTAGCATAATTAAGAGTTCTAGAATACTGATATTTTGCAATGTTGGCCATAGCTTGTCATGACCCACACAATCGAAAGCCTTTGTGTAGCCAATAAATCACAGGTAAACATCTTTCTGATATTCTCTGCCTTCAGCCAAGATCCATCAGACATCAATATTGATATCTATCCCTCGTTCAATGACCTCTTCTGAATCTGGCTTGAACCTCTGGAAGTTCTCCTTCAATGTATGCTTGCAGTCATTTCTGTATTCCCTTTAGTAAAACTTTACTCTCATGGGATATCAAAGATATTATCCAATGATTTCTACATTCCTTTGGTTCATCTCTCATTGAAATGGGCACTAGAATCTCACCTCTGCATCTAATAATGATTTGTACTTTATGGCTTTCTAAGGAGTCCTGGCGTGGCTCTGTGGGCCAATGCATCAGACTACAAAGTCATTTGAACTGCTACGTCAGTGATTCAAGCTCACCAGCTGCTCCTTGGAAACCCTATACAGGGTCACTATGAGTCAGAATTGACTTGACGACATTGAACAACAGCAACATTTTGTTCTACTCTCTGACAAAATAGATCAATCTTTACCATTTCCCCCCCTTTTCTTGGCCACTTGAGATTATTCATTCTTCCATATAAAATACGTAACTTTTGTTTAATTCAATAAAAAAAATGTATTTATGAGATAATCAAAAGGTTAGATTGTTAAATCAGACTCCCAAGAATAAGAAATTGCAATAATTTAAAGGATATAAGTAATCATGAAATATAGGCAAAAGATAGAATTTCTTCTTTGAAATTATGTTGTTGTTGTTAACTGCCTTTGAGCCGGCTATGACTCATAGCAACCTTGTGTAGTTTCCAAGGAGCAACTGGTGGGTTTAAACCACTGACCTCAGATTCAAACTGACCTCACAATCCAATGCATTATCCTGCAGTGCCAAACCAGGACTCCACCCTTAAAGATTACACCCTAGAAAAGTCTTTGGGAAGGTTCTGCTTTGTTACATAGGGAAAAACTAGAAGTAAAAAGTGACTTAACAGCTCACACAATAGCAACACATTACCTAGAATTTTTACATTCATTTTATAAGTCTTTATGATATATCTTTAAATTTAGGAATCAGCTATGAAACTATCTGGTCTAATTATTTTATTCTGTTTTTTTTTTTTTTTTCTCTCTCTCTTTCTCCCATTTTTGTTTTTGCTTTTGATTCTGTTTTTTTTTTTTTTTTGGCCAACATTGGCAATTTTTATTTTGTCAAAAGTTAACAAATTCATCTAGGCTTTCACAGTTGTAGAACTGCATATAGAATTTTCTTATAAGTCATTTAATCTCTTCTGTGTCACAGATATATCTTTCTCATTCCTAAACTTGTATAATTTTGCTATGTCTCTTCTTTTTGTAAACAGGTATTTGAAATTTTTATATATTTCATTGGATTTTGTTTCAAGGAATGATATTCTGAGTTAATTTTTCATTCCTACAATTATTTTCATTTTCTACTTCTGCCTTATTAATTCCCACTTTTTAACTTTTTTTAGATTGTTCTATTGTTCTTAACATTTATATTAAGATCTTTAATTGTTTGACTATTCTTTAACAATGAAGACATTAAAACATGTTCCTTTGAATGCATATATTTCTGTAATTCCTGAGGTTTTGATCTGAAGTTTTCCCTTAATTGTTTCTTCTTAGATCCAAAGATTATCATAGACTATGCCTCTTAATTTATAAGTACTTCTGATTGTGTGGTCATGTTTGTTCTTTCTTTCTTTTTTTTTTTTTTATGATAAAGACTATAAAATCTTTACTTTGAAAATGCTTAAGAGTCCACACACCTAATTCAACAGCAATTCAGCAATTTGTGGTTGCCTTTGCTTTAAAAGATCTCACCTTTATTTTATTTATTTATTTTTCTGTACCTCAGATTTTTAAAATTTGACTCCTGTTGTACCATTAATTCACAGGAATATGTTCTAGCAGATCAGGCTGCTTTCCATTGGTTCTCATAAAGTGCTCCTCTCTGGGGAGAGCAGGCTGGTGCTTTAGCTGAATCCAGGTACCTTTCTCTTTGGCTTCCTTCTTTTTCTAACCATTTTCCTTTGCTTACTTTAGGAAGCTATCTTGGCTCTTAGAGTGCTTAATATGTTCAATGCACACATTCATTCTCTTTGCAAGAAACTTGACCTTGACTTGCTTGTTCCCAATAAAATCAAATGTATGCTGGGTCACATTGTAGACTCCTCCAGTTTTGCCATGGTAACATTTCTGGGGCATGCCTTTTTGAACTGTGTCCATGCCCTTGATGTCCACAATATTGTCTTTCTTGTAAATTTGTATGTATGTGGCCAAAGGAATGACCCAATGTTTTCTGAAAGGCCTGGAGAACATAGAGCAGGTGCCCCACCTCTTTCCCTTTGTGTTTATCATATTGGTGGATTACTGCCAGTTGGTGGTTCCAGCTGAAAGGATGCTTATACCTTTTGAAAGATTTCCCAAAGCATTTAATTTTATTTTCATAAAGTGAAAAAACTTTGCTCTTTCTTTACACATAATTTTATTCTTTTACCCAAAATATTATTGAATTATGTAACTCCAATAACAAGTACAGTTAGTAAAATAATAATAATTATAATGATATCAACCATTCCTCCCTCAGCACTCTCTACTCAATGGTTTGATAATGTATTGCAATGGCTGCTGCACAGAATTCAGATACCATACTCATGGTTATGAGCTCCTTAGGGTAGTTAGCAGGATACAATTCAGGGTCAGAAATGCTCAGGGAATGGCTCTTCCAGTCAGGACAGCTTCTCCTGAGTTGTGTCCATGAACAGTCCTCTGTCTGGTCTTAGACCTTTGGCCTGGCCTCTGCCCTGCCTTGGCAATGTTACAAAGCTCTTTGAGGGCTGCTGATAAATGACACATTATGCCATCATAGTCCTCCACCTGATAACACTTGTATCTAGCTCCATTGACTAGCAAACCTAGCTCCCCCAATTAAGTTCCTGGAGGTACCACATTCTGCAAGCAAGTTCACTGTGCAAAATAGCTCAGTTTTACTTGTCTTGGAAACCCACCACTCTTTCTAGTACTTTGACTCTTGGTTCTGCTGCTGCTGTTGCTGCTCCTCTGTTATTCCTTCAGTGTCACAGCTGCCTGTCCCTGGGTCAAGGAGGTTCAATGTGCAGATATCTCATGGTCCAAAGGATATGCTCCACTCCTGACTCTTCTTTGACGGCAGTGAAATCCCACTTCATACTTCAGAAATGGCTCATATTATACCCAGCAGGATGGCTAAATTGACTGATCACAATGAGCCCTGTTAGCAATCGCTCACTAATGAATCATCAGCATCTTCCCTCACTTTCTCTTACATAGACCGATTAGGAAAAAGTCTTATGGAAGTTTACAGACCATGGCTCGGAGAGACATTGAATAATTCATGCACCACAGTTGACATAAGTAGTTTAGTAGAAACATACAGATTTAGTATACAACAGAATCTGGAGCATTTAAAGTGTTGGATAACAATTAAGACAGCTTACCTAAAGGGGGAATCTACTAGGTGAAGAAAAAGAACTACTACTTTCAGAGTTTCTATTATTTTGAAAAACATTAGATAATTGCTGATATAGTGAATTCTTTTCTACAGACAATTACAGTAATGTCTAGTTGTCAAATTTCTAAAGAAAAAAATACCTTAAACTGATATATTTTTAAAGCACACTTATGTTATGTTTATATCTTTTATTACTTATCTATAAAACCATTCAACAAAATGAATGAGAAACTTTTTGTATTTCACCATACTTTGCACAACTTTAGAAATCTAATTTGATGAACAGGTTACGAAAGGATCCTAAACCAAGTTTGGACCTTAGTTCTTTTGCAAGTAAAATTCCTTAATGTTTGAACTTTCACATTTGAAAGGTGAAGATGACCACCACTCTGTATTCCTCACAAAAAGTTGTTAATTCAATCAAAAGATTTTTATTCTAAAATGGTATACAGACAATATGTTTCTAAAACCATAAAATTTGATTGAAGTTCGAGATAAAGTGCAAAATGGTACTTTAAATCATTAATTTTATATTATCACATGGAAGATTCCCTGTTTTTTACTTTGTGAAAAGCTCAGATGATCTAGTCAATCTATTTTGAATTAATTATTTGCAATGCATCCAACTGGTACATCCATAGTAATAATTTTCCTCAACCTCATACTCCTCTACCAAATTATGTATTTGAATTTGAAGAAGAAAAAATATAGTCCTAAAATTGCTTTTCAGGATAATCCCCTTTGCCTCTTGTTGTCCTTAGAAAACATAGTAGGTGTCAAGGTTTCCCCAAAGAGTTCATTTCAGAGCATAACTCTTTTAAGTCAAGCTTTTGTTGAATCAGCAATAAGACTCCAGAGCCTGGGTAATGAAGATATGTATATAAAAGCAATAAATTCCTTATGCCACACATCATCAGCCACACTCCAACTCATCGTTGGCCCTGATTTAATGTAGGTCAGGTTAAAATTTGAGTATTTCTCTAAAAGCAAGGTAGCATCTCATAGTTTTGCTGTTAACTAGGGACTAGGGTTGGAAAGAAAGGAAGGGAAACGTGCAGGAAAGAGGGTTCTTTTTCATTGCTTAAGGAAACTTTACTTGTAACAAAACTGGTTCAGTATTTATGATATCATTAATCATGTCTACATGTGTCATAGGATTTTGTTCTGCCCATATATTTCTTTCCCCAAATGATAAAAACAAATGCTAAATGTAAAAAAGTTACATGTGAAAAGTAGTTAATCTTCCCAATGCCTTTAAGTTTCCCACTGTAATAGATTCCACAATATTCTGCTTTGCAAAAAATCTAGACAGATATGATAGCCTTACACAACAAAATAATTGCTAATTCTTACCGTCCAGATTGATATCCAGAAAAAAAAGTCAGGAAAATATATAACAAAGCAATTTGAGCTTCAGAGAAGGGCAATGCCGGCTTGTATGTCTATGTCCAGTAAAACCAGTTGCCCTCTACTCAACTCCACCTCACTGGGACCCCATGTGTGTTCAAGTACAACTGGGTTCCAGAGTTATGAATGGTTGATTTTTCAGAAATAGATCACCAGAACTTTCTTCCAGAGTATGCCAGAGTATACTCAAACCTAAAACTTTCAATTAGAAGCAAAATACATTAACAATCTACACTACCCAAGGATGACAACATGGCAATGAAGGCCTGTGTGAAAGAGTCATGATCAGTGGGTAAACATAATCACCAAGGAAACACAAACAATATGTATTTCTTATTTTTTTAATGGCTCCACCATAGAAATAATGTGTTCAGGAATAACCTAGAAATTGTAGAATCCATTAAAGAAGGACATTAGTTTCTAGGACAAAAAGCAAGGCTCAGCATTGTAAATGTGTTAAAGATTTGTCATGTCCACGTGGCAAACCAGGATTCCATCATGGTCAGAAATGCTAGGAAATATGAAGGCAGTATTCTAGGGCAGAGACTTAAGATTTAAAAACATTACTTGCATAGTCTATTTGGTAGTAATGCTTGAGATTAATCATGCCTTATAACTCACCCACTGCCACTGAGTCCAATCTGACTCAGAGTAACCCTATAGGACATAGAAGAACTGTCCCTTAGAGTTTTTGAGATTATAAATCTTTATGGGAGTAGACAGCCTTGTCTTTTTCCTATGAAGCATCTGGTGGGTCTGAATTGCCAGCTTTGCAGTTAGAAGCCCAACACTTAACCACTGCATCACCAGGGCTCCATTTAGTGCCTTATGTTGTTGTTGTTATTAAGTGCCAGTGAGTGGGTTCCAATTCATAACAGCTCAATATATGGTTTCTGCGGAGCAGCTGGTGGGTTTGAACTGTTAACCTTGTGGTTAGCAGTCCTGTATTTATCCTACAATGCCATACCAGAACTTATAGAAGATCATAATCTGAGTTTTGATAAATCTTAATTTATCAAAATTTTAGTATATTTAATGAGTCCTGGTGTGACGCTATAAGATATGCACTCTATGATTGCACGTTCGGTTTGAATCACAAGGTTCATGGTTCAAACTCACCAGTCACTCCTGAGAAACCCTCTATAGGGTCGCTATGGGTCAGAATTGACTTGACAGCACTTAACAAAAACGAGTCTTGGTGTGATGCTATAAGATAAGTATCAGACTGCTAACTTCAAGGTCGGCGGTTCAAACCCACCACCCACTCCTTAAAAGCTCTGTACAGGGTCACTATGAGTCACAAATTACTTGAAGACACCTAACAACATTGACCCAGGGTAATCATTTGTCATACTCACTGTTTTTTTCTACCTTTGACAAAGTTCCACTCCACATTTATACTAAATTAAACAAATCAAAATAATGATTTATTACAACATAGATTGACTTTCCAGGGCTATCTGGATGTGGGGTATGTGTTAGAGAGTACAATTTCTCATTACTTTTGGAGAACAAATACAAAAATTTTAAATACTATGAAAGGACTTCTGAGAGAGTTTTGGTAAAAAAATTAGTTGTTTGTACTTTTCCAAACAGAACCTAGAAAGTGTACTAATCATTAGACAATATTTTACAATCCACGTAGAGAAACAGCAAACTATGACTCTTGTATCTTAAATTTCTAAAAGGAACACTAGAGATTATTGTTAACATATTTTAAATATTTAACTTCACTTGAAAATATCAGAATCCAGGTAAAAATTGCAATAAGTAAATAAATTTTTTTCTGGTCACTCTCAGTTTTCTTTAAATACGTAGGTCAAAGGGCAGAGTGGCCATCTCACAGGAAGACAAGGAAGTCTTAAACTGCTGACTGGAGTAGAAAATCATGGGTTTGAGACTGTAGGTTCACTTTCTCTCCCACAGGGTTTTCTTGTCTGTAATCTTTCAGGGAGCGGATCAAGTCTTTCTCCTGCAGTGAAGCAGATTGGGTTGGAACGGCCAACCTTTCAGCTAGTTTAACAGTCATTTCCATGGAATCACAGTGACACCATGGTTCCTTGGAAATGAAGGATCCTTTACTGGTTTGTACTTGCATACTTGAATGACAACTATCTGAGTGCTAAAGAAGGAGGTTCCAAGTCAGGGAGTTCAGCAGAGAAACCAACTCTTAAAACAAGAACAATAAATAGGAAGAAAGGAAGGTGACACAGATGCTACCAAACAGAAAGGACATGCTGGATAAAAATTAACTTAAACCTTTCCCCATTCTACTTATTTTAAAGTTCTTTCACCTCTATTCCACTGCAGTTCTCTCCCTTTTAAAGTTTCTCTCTGTAGACATTATCCAGATTGAAAGTTGCTAATTTATTTGGGGCATCCAAGGTGAATTTTGACTTTTATTTGATTGACAAACGTGGCTGACATAGGAAAAAAAAAAAAAAAAAAAAAAAAGGCAGCTAAGGATTAATGCCGCATAAGAATTCCTCAATCTAGACAAATCCTTCATGAAAAGATCTCCCCATCTTCCCCTTGTGAAGACAAAGACTTGTCCATGAGGTTTTATAGCACCTCCAATGCTATATTATCCTTTCCAATTGATGTTACTTCTAATAGGATCTATTTTAGGAGATGTGGACATTTAACAAGGACACTTAAAAGAGTGTAATGCTGAAACAGTTTCCCAAAACACCCTTAAAATTTTATGAGACTAATGGAATTCCAAAATTATATTTGTAAATTTATTTTAGTTGCTTTCAACTTTCACAAAAAGCTTTTTCACAGTGCATGGTGAGAACATAGTGCAATTAAACCAGAATATTTAATATAAGTCAGAAACAAAATATTAAAACACAAAAACTAAAGATAGATGATGGAAAAAAAAAGAATCCTTAAAATCTTTCCTATGGCAACGGAACACAGCACTTAGTGCAAATTTCCTATCAGGCAGACCAATAGGAAAATATAATAAGTCTGTGTCTCTAAATGTCTTTTTAAAGAGAATATACTGTTTTATCAGAATCAAATAAAAATGTGATAAGAAGCAGAAAAAAATAAAAGTAACTATATTAAATACCTACTATACATGGGATTATTTAAGTACACTATCATATATTGTGTACACTATCAAAATTGTGACCCAGCCCCACTAAGTACATATTATTAATTTAATTTCACAAAAGCAAATAGTGAACAAAACCTCAGAGAAGTGAAGTAACTAAGCCAAAGTCACAACTAGTGAATGATGGAGCAAAAACTTTAACTCATGTCTATCAGACTGCATAGCTCATATAACATACCCAGAAAAATAGAAAACTCCTATCTGTACCTCAACTGCATCATCCAACTCAAAGCATACACATGTACAATTTTTAATCTATAGCCAGGCTATTCTCAGAAACAGAAACTTCATGGAAAATGTCAAAAACGTTGTTGCTCTTAGGTGCCATTGAGTCAGTTACAACTCATAGTGACCCGATGCACAACAGAATAAAGCATTGTTCAGTCCTGTAACATCCTCACAATTGTTGTTATGTTTGATCCCATTGTTGTTGCAAGAATGCCAATTCATCTCTTTGGGTGTTTTCTTCTTTTTCGCTGACCCTCCATTTACCAAGCATGATGTCCTTCTCCAGGGACTGGTCCAAAGTATGAGAGACGAATTCTCAGCATCCTGGCTTCTAAGGAGCATTCTGGGTGTATTCCAATACATATTTGTTGCTTCTTCTGTCAGTCCATGGTACTTTCAATATTCTTCTCCAACACCATAATTCAATTAATCAGTTCTGTTCGGTTTTCCTTGCCCAACTTTCACATGCATATGAGACTATTGAAAATACCTTAGTCTTCAAACTGGTATCTTAGCTCTTGAACATTCTAAAGAGGTCTTGTGCAGCAGATTTACCTAATGCAATACGCCATTTGATTTCTTGACTGCTGCTTCCATGAACGTTGCTAGTAGAGCCAAGCAAAATGAAATCTTTAATAATTTTAATCTTTTCTCCATTTTTCATGATGTTATTTATTGGTTTAGTTGTAAGGACCATTGTTTTGTTTACACTGAGGTACAATTCATAGTGAAGGCTGTGATCTTGGATCTTCATCGGTAAGTATTTTAAGTCCCCTTTGCTTCCAGCAAGCAAGGTTGTATCAACTGCATATTGTAAGTTGCCAGTGAGCCAATCTTGATGCCATGTTCTTTTTCATATAATCCATCTTCTCAGATTATTTGATTAGAGTACAGATTAAATAAGTATGGTGAAATACACCTCTGGCGCACAGCTTTCTTGATTTTAAACCATCAGTATCCCCTTGCTCTTTGTAACAATTGCCACATGGTCTATATACAGATTCCTTATAAGCACAATTAAGTAAGCAATGTTATCCATAAATGCTAAAAATTGCTGCTACAAATTCATTATCATCATTCCAACTACTATAACCAGTAAATCACTTGTTGCCTACTCAACTATGACTCATAGACACCATGTATGTCAGAGTAGAACTGTGCCCCATAAAGTTTTTAATGAGTCATTTTTTGTTTTACCTTTTTATTGTGAACTAAGTGAAGGTTTACAGACAAGATCATCAGTTTTACACTCAACAAGTCATATACTTTGTTTCATCTCAATGATGAAGTCATGATGTGTAGAGGACAAGGAACTAGTGTGTTTTGTCCTATGTTGTTATTGTTATTAGGTGCTGTCAAGTCAATTCCAATTCGTAGGGACCCTATGGACAACAGAACACAATGTTACCCTACCCTGCACCATCCTCACAATTGTTTAATGTTTGAACCCGTTGTTGCAGCCAATGTGTCAATCCATCTCACTGAGTGTCTTCCTTTTTGCTGACCCCCAACTTTGGCAAGCATGGTGGCCTTCTCCAAGGACTTATCCCTCTTGATGATGTGTCAAAAGTTGTGAGACAATGTCTCATCATCTACCTTCAGAGCTGCATTCTGGCTGTACTGCTGTCAAAATAGATTTGTTTGATCTTCTTGCACTCTGGGAGTCCATAGCATATTCAATTTTCTATTTCAATATTATGGGGAATCCTGGTGTGGTGCGGTGGGATAAAACACTGGACCACAGGTCAGTTTGAACCACAAGGTCAGCAGTTCAAACTCATCAACAACTCCTTGGAAACCCTATACAGGGCCACTATGAGTTGTAGCTGACTCAATGGTATTTAATAACAACAACAATATCATGGGAGCATGGTGGCTTCATACGATAAGCACTGGACTGCGAACCACAGGTCTAAAATTTGAGCTCACCAGCTGCTCTATGGAAGAAAGATGAGGCTTTCTGCTCCAGCAAAGATTTTTAAAAGCTCCGAAACCATATATGGGGTTATTATGAGTCGGATCTGACTCTAAGGCACTTAGCAACAACAAATCCCAATGCAATAAGTCAAAGACATAAATTATTTTTCAGTCTTCCATATTCATTACAGTTTTCATATGTATATGAGTGAAAATACGATGGCTTGGATCAGGTAAACCTTAGTTCTTAAAGTGACATCTTTGCTTTTTAACTATAAAGAGGTCTTTGGCAGCCAATTTGCCCAATGCAATATGTCATATGATTTCTTGACCATTGCTTCCCTGGTGTTGATTATTAATCCAAGATAAAATCCTTGACAACTTCAATATTTTCTTCATTTATCATAATGTTGATTATTGGTCCACTTGTAAAGATTTTTGTTTTGTTTACGTTGAGGTGCAATCCATTCAAAAACTTCAGTCTTTCATCTTCATCAGTGTTTCAAGTCATCTTTGCTTTATCAAGAAAAGTTATGTTATCTGCATATCATGGGTTCTTTATGAGTCTTAATCCCATCCTGATATCTCCTACTTCATGTAGTTTTGCTCAGCAAACAGATTAGTAAATATGATGAAAGGATACATCCCTGATGCACACTCTTCCTGATTCTAAACCACTCAGTATCCCCTTGTTCTGTTTGAACACCCTATTAGTCTATGTATAGGTTCCACATGAGCACAGTTAAGTATTCCAAAATTCCCATTATTCTCAGTGTTATCCATAATTTGTTGTAATCTACAGAGTTAAATGCCTTTGCATTATCAATGAAATACTAGTAAACATCTTTCTGCTATTCTCTACTGTCAGCCAAGATCTATTTGATATCATTCCACCTCCTCATCTGAATCCATCTTGAATTTCTGATATTTTTCTGTGTGCTGCTATAAATGTTTTTTAAAAATATTTTCACCAAAGTTTAATTTGCATGTGATATCAGTAATCATTGTTGTTGTTAAGTGCCTTCAAGTCTGTTCCTACCCATAGCGACCCTGTATAGGGTTTCTGAGGAGCAGCTGGTGACCTTGTGGTTCAAACCTACTTTGCTGTCCAGCACATTAATTCACAGTCCACACCAGGACTCCGATATTAATGATACTGTTTGATAATTTCTGCGTTCTGTTGGATCACTTTTCCTTTGCATGGGTATGAGTACGAAATTCTTCCAGTCAGTTGGTCTTCCAAATTTCTTGGCCTAAATGAATGAGTACTTCTAGCACTGCATCACTTGTTGAAACAATTCAATTGGTATTCCATCAATTCCTGGAGCCTTGTTTTTGCCAATACCTACAGTGCAATTTTAACTTCTTCCTTCAGTACCATGGTTCTTGAACATCGACCAATTCATTTTGGTAGAGTGACTCTGTATTTTTTCTATCATCTTTTGATGCTTCTTGCATCCTTCAATATTTTGCTCATGTTGGTTTTTGTTCTTAAGTACTGTTGAGTCAGTTCTGATTCATAGGGAGTCAGTATAGGGTTTCTAAGGAATGGATAGTGGTTTTGAACTGACAATCTTGTGATTAGCAGTCACGTGTTTATCTTATAGCACCACACCAAGACTTCATGTTGCTCATATAATTCTTCAATATTGCAACTCCTTAGATTTTTTTTCTTCAGTTTTTTCAGCTTAAGACATACCAAGCAAGAGCTACTCTTTGAAATCATCACTAGCTTTTTTAATCATTTCTTCCCTTTGTTTTAGCTACCTACATTCTAGAGCAAGTTTCAGTGTCTCTTCTGATATCCATTTTAGTCTTCTTTTTTTTTTTCCCCTGACATTTCTCCAATAGTCGGCAAATAAAATGGCTCCCATTTAAAAAAAAAAAAAAAAACTGTCCAAACTCCAGTCTGGCATCACCTACCAAAGAATTCAATGGAATAGCTTAGACAATTAAAAGGGATCAGTGACTTGGTTATTTGGTACTAACTAGGGATCTGGGTTGATATCAGATATCAACAAATAACGGCAAATAACTTCTAGCCCCCAGAGGTAGATACAGGCAAAGACTAGGCAAATTACTATAATACAGCAATATCAGTCAACTGGGGAATCTAGCAGGACTTCAGTCATGTAGAAGTTAACAGAGGAGAGGCTGAATTCATATTAGAGAAAGACTTACTTCTTTTTGGATGGAACCAGATTACACTGAAATTTTAGAATAAAAATGGGAGTTTGAGTGAGCGAATCTGAGTGAGCAGTTTCTGACAAGTTTGTTGCTGTTCTTTTTTGTCTGTTTGTTCAAACCATTTTTTTTGTCTTTAAGTTTTTATTGTGGATTGATTGAAAGTTTACAGGGCAGACCATCAGTTTCACATTCAACAAATCATACAACTTGTTTCATCACAATGATTACAATCCCCTCCATGTTACACCAGTTAACAATGTTTCTCTCTATTCACTTTAGTTCCTTTTTAAAAAAAAAAACACTCAGGCATATATAATAATTTACACCACCAAAGGGCACATTCTGAAAGTCTCTCCCCTGGCCACTATCTCTTAATCCCTCTCTTCCCATGAATCTAGAGTCCTCAGTCTCTCCCCCTCTCCATGTCCCCATCTCTGCCTCCATCTTTGGTGTCACTGCTTCTCTGGATAAAGTCCCTCATTCTCCTTGTGCTCTTCTCCTTTGATGGTCCTAGCATCATTTGTTTCTGACTGTAAAATTAACTGCTCCCTCATTTTTATTACAAAACTTCTACCTTTACAACTGTGACAGTCACAATTCGTCATGATAACAATTACTCACTATTGAATCATAAGAATCTTATCCTAATCTTTTTTTAACTAGACCTATCTAGACAATATGAGAACTATTAAGTGGGGACTCTTTCTTCCCCAACACACTCTTAAACTAAATTCCCTCTTGAAACCTTGCAAGCCAGTCACTTCATGCCTTTATTACCCCCTCATATTAGGTAGCCAGTGTCTAACTTGCCCTTCTCTATCTACCCTGTGTACAGAGGGGAAAGCATTGATACTTGATATAAAGACTTCTTCCCTCTGTTGGTATTTAGAGTCACTATATAGGTCAGGTTCATCAAATTGTAGCAATTTACCCAGGTTTCCCTTATCAAAAAAAAATTTTTTTTTTTTAATCTTCCTCTATTCGAGTTCTGATTATCAAGCCATAGAAGCTAGGTCAAATGGGTACTATCTGTAAGTTTGGGTGTTCTTGTGCATCTCCCCTCACTTCATAACAGATGGATGCTTCACTCTCAGCTCTA